ATGAAATCCTAGAGCATGGAGCCTACTCACGTTAAGTAAAACTCCAAACTGAACAAAACAAAAGCAAATGTGGCACAACATAGTAGTATCAGTTTCCTTTCTTCCTTCCCACCCTGCTTCTTTGTGCCCCACCCACCCAGAAGTCCATTCATTCTACAATTGCGTCGGGGATTCTTTGTTGTCTTCATTATTAAATCCAAAACTCCTACAACCCCATCTTCATAAACCAGGTTTACCATCCCAGCCATGACGATACTGCACCTGTTCACCTCTGCCTACGCTTTTCTTTCTCTCTAGCCTGCTCTGCCTCCAGCCTCCACCTAGACATCCATCCAGGCAGGGCTTCTCTATCCCTTCACCCATGAAGCTTTGTGTCATTTTCCAAAGGAAGTTAGATTTCTTCCCATGTTCTCACAATATTCTATTTTCCCTCTAAAAAATTACAATCACGTGTAATTTATTTGTCCCCAGTGGATAAGAAGCTCCTACGGGGCAGGCACTATTGTGTTTCCTATGCCGGCACCATGACTGGCATATTGTAGGTGTTCATTAAATAATTTTTGCCAAATGAGTGAAGTAATAGTAAGGTTCTGAAACTCGCAAATTGTTTACATTTTTGTGCTATTTTATTGTTGTTTAAGCCTGTTCACACCTCATTATCTTAACCTGATTATCTGATTAGCCCAGTGAAGCAAGACAGGGACTAATCAAACACTGCTGATTATCTTCTCAATGACCAGGTCTCTTCCACGTTGTCAGGGATGTTTTTTTCTAGGTCTACCTCTACCCAAGTACCTAGAATTAGGCTCAGCTGATTTGAAGTAATTGCAGTGGTTATTTCGACCTGTTTCTCTGGAAAAATAGGGCCGAAGGCAGGGCTGCAGTGCCAAGATATTATTGAGAGGCATGATGCCAGGGCCTAAAAAGGGAGAAAGGACAAGGTGGTGAGACAGGTAATAATGGGATGAAAATTTTTTTTTATATTTTTCCAGATTGACTATCATTTCATAGAGACACAAGTAACTCAGCCACTCAAGATGTCTCTAGCCAAACTACATCAAAACTCTGCTTCTGCACAGGACACTGCAGTGGGATTAGGTAAGGGATATATTCACATCTCTGCTCAGTCTATGCCTCCCACTGTAAGAGTTTTCCCCATGGGAGTAAATGCCTGTAGAGTGCTTCTCCCAAGCACCACAGTGATGAGAGGACCCAGACACAGCAGTGGTGTTGGCTTACATGGATCTGGACCAAGTCTGGAAGTGGCTATAGTGGTGCAAACATCCCAGGAGACTGCAAGTACAGGCAGATATGCACAAGATAGACAGGGTGGAAACTACTGTTCTTCATGAGAAGTCTTCTTGCAGAGGGGAATGGCATGGTCAAAGTTCTTAGAGGGGGCCGGAGATTTAGCTCAGTGGCACAGCACCTCCCGGACAAGCTCAAAGTCCCGAGTTCAGTCTCCAGTACCAAAAAAAAAAAAAAGAAAAAAAAGTTCTTAGACACATTCCCAGAGAACTAGGAACATAAAAGGCATTTTTTATTTCATCAATCAGGTAACTCACAATTGATACTCATATTACATCAGAAGCACTGTTTCTGTGGATGTATAAAGTAACAGTACATTCTACAGGTGATGACACCTAAAATAGCGGAAATATATGTACCTAGTCCTATGTCGACCTTCAGGCATTGGTGTGTAACTCTCATGCTAGGAGCTGTGGTAGCCCTCTAGAAACCACGAGAGGAACTAGTTTTACAGTCTGAGGACAGCAAAGTGAAAATGCAGAACAAATTTGTATCTTTAGTGAGGACTGCTCCCCGTCTGAGAGATTAAGGAACTGAAGACAGAGAGGTGATGAGCCTTTTCTGGGGTCACACAGGTACATATCAAACAATGGACCAGAGACTTTAACTGTCCCTGGTGTTCTTTCCCATACAGCCCTGATAGGGAGCTCAAAACCCTTCATAACTGGCTTGTTTACAGACTGTTTTGATAATTTCTTGCCGCATTAATATATGAACTCAAGGTTTCTGGAGAACAATCAGTTTTCTCGTGCTACTCTAATTTCTGACATTTTGGAAAAGCTATCAAAAAAGAATGAAGCATGCTTGCCCACTAAAAACTTGCTATGGAGAAAGTACAGAAATGTCACTGACACCTTATCTCTAATCTTTTCATGTACACTGTATGGAAAGCAGCAACATCTTCTCTTCAAAACATCTTAGTGTTAGCATAAAAAATAGAACATTGGGCTTCAAGCTGATATAATATTCCGCACTGAAACAATTCTTTCCTCAGGTACCCACACATCAGAGCAGTTTCTGTAAGGCCACACCAGCCAGTGAGTGCCAGCTGAACACTACTCTTTCATCCCAAAAGCACACACAATCAGCCCCAAAGGTACCCAGGGCAATGTTCAGAGCTATCTAGTGACTCTTCCCCCAAGCAACCCTAAGATACTTACACTGACTCAGACTATTTGTATTTTCAAATATTTCAGCTCAGGTAAATCACCAAATGTCAGTGGGAGTTTGCAAATCAGGAAACAAAGGCTGATAACAGTTTAAGCCCATCTGAACAGGTCTTAATTGCCAGTATGGCCAAGCATCAGAATAAAAATCCAAATGACCCAGAGAAATTTATGATGAAGGAACTTAATGACTCTGTAGATTGCTGCTCAAATGAGAGGATCACAAAATGAAACAAAACACTGGGGCATAAAAACAATCTACAAAAACATAGCAGCTGTTTTGTGAACGTGGGTGCCTCCAGCATTTGTGGATGTGCAGTGGCTGTGAATAGCTGGATGCCATTTCTCATCTGCTCGGGAGGAGGCTGCATGGCTTAAGCTTGCCAAGTCAAGGAGCACCCTGTAGCTGTGTGTTTAATAAGTCAATGTCTCCAACGTGTCAATCGTCCCTTAGTCCTGTCAACAATCCCTACTCTTCTCTTTACATCTAGCACCATGTGACACTCCTCTAGTACCTGCCTGTGTTGGGAAGAGGAAAATTACATACATTTAGGGATCCTCTTCTAAACACTGGCTCAGGATGGAAATTAAACCAATGAGTTTTCTGCTTTAATAATCCAAAAAAAGTGTCCTCAAGGAAATCAGAGAACTGAGACTGTTTAACAGTTTTCTCTTTGGCTGTTGCCCATTTCTCCAAGCATCCTAGGTTGAGATGCGGCAAATGCATTCCCCCTACTTTACCTTCCTCCAAGTTCTCCAACATTATAGAAGTTAGGGAATACTAGTGCACGTGCACTAGGGGTGCTGCTAGCCACCTGCAGGAAGGTTCAGGGAATCTAATTTTCTTCGGAGATAAATTACAGGTGTTTAGTTCATTATGTACTAAGCAGAACCATGGGGAAAAGAGTGAGAATAGGATAGTGACTGTTAAGTGCATCTAGGGTCTTTTACTGTGTGGGAGCTGCCGAATGAAGAAATATATTAGTCTTGCTTTTCTGCTAGCCTCCTCATGAAGTAATCACTTAAATGGGTTCTCAGAGTTCAAGGGAATTGGAATACCAGCAGTAATAAGAGAAATACCTTGAATTTTCTTCCAAGGCACTCCTAAGGCTTTACAGACATTATTACATTTATCAGCCCTCCCAGGTCCCTGAGCTTCCAACCAAAAAAGATATCAGCCTCGTGCAAAAGAAAATCTTCTCTTACAAATAAGAAAGAGGGACCACAGACAATTTGAGACTCGCCGTGTGGGGTTCCCGCACTTCCAGAGTCCGGACTCTCAAATCCCGGTCCATCAGTGACTATTGTAGTATTGTAGAATATGACCTCCAGGAACGTGAAGGGAGGACCACAGTGTTGACCCCCAAACTCCCTCTGTGAAGGGGAAACTTTTGGAGGTCAAATGAAATGCCAACCTCCTCTTTCCCAGGCCTGCTCCCCACAGCTCCACGCACACACACCCTTGGGTAGCGCTGAGCTATTTCGGGTTTCAACCTCATCTGTCTTTCACATTAGGCTCGGCGTTAATTATGACGCTTCAGTGAAAACTAGGCTTCTGACAGTCCCAGCCTCAGAGAATGGGAGGAGGAAGAAAGGCAGCTCCAATTATAGGCCATTAGCCTTAATTAATGCCCACCTCCTGCACTGGGCATTGTGGACACGATCCCCACACAGCGCGGGGAAGAACTCAGTCCACTCCATGGCACAGGGACCAACAGTATTAAGCCAGTTACTTGCTGGTTCCCCTGGAACATGATCTTTCAGGCAAGGAAGCCATTTATACGCAATAACCAGGAGGAATGCATAATTCTGCATTTCTTCTTCTTCTTTTTTTTTCCTCATTGAGTTTATTGGTACATTTTAGGTATACAGTACAGTTACATTCATCGTCGGGATCTTGTACCTTTCCATGATAGGTCTTGCATTTCTTCTTTTAAACTATCGTTTGACATTCTCGTGGCACATCTTCCTTTAGGGCAGAGCGAGAGCAGCCTTATAGAAACCCCAAATCAATTTTGCTCTTTGGCTTCAGACTTCAAGTCAGTCAAACAACCAAATTCACATCGTCACATACTGTGTATGCTTGTGTGTACACATATCTAAATTAAGCACTCTAAAAGGCTTTATAAAAGATATAAAGGATATAAAATCTTCCTCTCAGAGACGTCATAAGCACAACCTTCACCAAATCAGAAAGTCTTGAGGGCAAGCAATACTTCCCCACTGCTTCTTGAAAGACTTCAGCAATTAATTCTGCAGGGAGTAAATTCAAATGAAGAAGAAGGTTGCTATGCAGCCGCTGACCAGAGCCCTATTTAAAGCTGCTCAAAAGTGCAGTGACTTCTGTGACTGCGCACCAGCTTTCTCTCTCCTGTCCCTGACTTCTATTTGACCCATTCTATACAATGTTATTCCACAAGTGGTCACTGGGGGGCCTGGGCCAGGCGGGTTCAAAGTGAACCCTAATCCTGGTTCCTCCACCTAACTGTAATTTTGTGTTTCTGTGTCACTCTCTTTGTCACTCACTCTTACTAGATTGTAAATTCTTCAAGGGTAGTACCGTCTTCATCTCTGAATCCTCGGATCAAAACTCCACACTCACGAGCTAAAAAAAAAAAAAAAGGCAAATTAATTATAGAATGAATGAATGAATAAATAAGTAAAACAAATTCAGCTGGCTATCTGATTTGGCTTCAAGAATCCTCTCAAAGCTATGCCCAAATCTGCTCCCTGTGTCAGAGCTTTTCCCAGACTACTCTCTTTGAAAAGGCCTCTGTCCCTAACCATGGCCTGAAATTACTCTATTTATATGCTTATTTGATTTTTGTCTATCTTATAGGGAAAAACATTTCAAGAAGCCACAGGTTTGCTTATCTGGCTTGCCTCTATATCCTTGACACTTAGCATCGTACTTAGTATGAAGTAAAAAGCGTGTGTGACGAATGGTCAAATGAATGAAGGAAAGAAGGGAGAACTACACATCGAATTAGTGTGCAAGACTCTCCGAGTCAGTTAGCATAGCTAAATAGTCAAGTAAGCAATGTTTGTAGCTAGGGAGGACAAAGTACTACTGCGAACAGTAGCTACAAAGATAGCAAGACCATTTTGACTTTCAGAGTGTATGGTTTTGTAATGGTAAACAGCACACACACATGGACACACACACGCACATTATGTTTTGAGACTTCCAAGCGTAAAGCAAAGGAAGACACTGCCAGTCACTGAGAGATATAGAATAGCCTAAAAATCAAGGAATGCGTTATGTAGCAGAGAGACAAATACATACCTGAAAATATAACTAGTAGTGTGGGATGGCATTTGCTATCGGGCATAAGGACCATAACCTCACGGATCATAGAAGAGAATGGTTATTATCACCCAGTTAAATAGTTCAAAGACTTCTTTCTCCCTCCCCTTCTGTTCAAGGGAGTCTTGGCCTATAATCAGGAAGAAAGTGGTCTTCTGGTTCTCCATAACTAGGCATCCATGTGCAGGTAATGTCAGGAGTGGGGAAATCGCCCACCCCACTCACCTATTCAAAGGTTGTTTTTATCTTTATGTGCTTCAGATCACTTAACATACCGCTAGCTTGCAATAAATTATAATTAGTCATAACAGCAGCATTATTCTAGGTTTTATTATTAGAGGCATTAATTTTTAATGTTTGCTGTATTCAGATATGTGTGGAAGACTTGAAATGTATTTAATAATGATAACTCCCCCTTCCAAGCTCTAGCAGTGGTCTACTGGGATAAAATCAAACTGTGCTGCATTTAATGCACAGAAAAGTGGGGGGAAAAGAGGGGAAAGCTTTGAGCTGAGAAGAATATATTCTCTGGAGGATCTAAAGCTGATGGGCTCAGAAGGTCTTTGACTCGGCCTAGCAGGACAGATCCTAACAACCCCAAAGGAAACAGAGTCAGGAAGATTCACTCTCAATTTGGAAATAAGCTTTCTTCCCCCCCCCTTTTTTGCAAGGATTTAGATTGCTTTGTTTCAGTGTGAATTTTTAAATTAATTTTATTGGTACATTTTAGGTATACAATATAATGACATTCATCATTGGAAATTTGTACCTTTACATAATCTATCTTAATAGTTCCTAGTTTTCCCCATTCCCCTGCCCTCCCTTCACCCCCTCCACCCTCCCTACGTACAAAGACTTTATTTCCATTTTTTCTTTTTCTCATACTAATTCCATTCCCTTCTTTCCTTTCCTCAACCCTTCTCACTTTTACTTCTCCTTTGCAGCCTTCTCTTCTTATTTCACAATGTCTAATGTGCCTTTCGATCTTTACACTTTCAGTTTCTCACACCAGAGAAACTATTCAGTATTTACACATGGATGCCTCAACGTACATCCACTTAGCTATAAATGAGTCTAATTTCACATTCTTTATGGCTGAGTAGTACTCCGTTTTATAATAGTTAAAACCTGGAAACAGCCCAATTGCCCACCAACTGGAGACTGGATAAAGAAAATGTGGGATTTTTTTAAAATAAAATGGAATCAAGCACTCTTAAAGACAACTAAGGAAGGAATTTCCTGGAGGGAGGAGGTGATAAGTGAAAAGAAAAAGGGTCCTACTGTTACACAGGACGTAATATTGGCGATGAAATATGAAATATTATATCTACCAACCTGTTAGCTTTATGATGTGCCAAGCTCTTGTTCTCTAAAAATCAAAGAACAAGTCCTAGGAAGAAGGCAGAGTAAGAGTAGGAAAATATTTATTAATAGGAAGCTCCTGAGGCACAGGAGGGGTCCCTAGAGGGTAGCCTGGGAAACCCCACTTTACAGAGGCATTTTATAGGGCAAAACCCACGTAGGTACAACGTGGGCCACAGACATAATCATCCAGTAAGGTTACAAGTGTACTCACTTAGGTAGTAGTGGTCCAGTGGGGAAGCAAATCACGTAGTAAGTGTGGACAGAAAAAAGAAAGATTCTCCTAGGAAGTGGTGGGCCCAGAGGTCAGAGATCTCTGGTCTCTGCGCTGACTGATGTCTGTCTGGACTTGATTAGGCCCAGTGTTTGTTCTTTGAGGAAGTATGTAGGTCTGTTCATCTCGTCTTTATCTGGAGGCCTGATGTATTGTTTCTGGTGCAGCTGTGAAATGTTTCACCCTCTAGAGGACCTAGCCCTATCTGACTGCCTATAATATTTCTACCTAGCTCACCTATCTATAATACTAGTTTATCATTCCCTACATCTGCATGCTACAGGCCGTGCTGGTGCTCTGAAGTCTCACGATTTCCAGCAGTTTCCTTTGGGACTAACATACTCCCCTCCTCTTCTCCCTTGTCAGAACAGTAAGATGTTGGTCAGTGAGCGGCTTGGAGCTGGATCCTAATATGATTCTCTGTGTAATCTTAGATGTCAGTTTCTCAATTTAAATGATGTTTCCAACCTTGCTCAGAGGAAACCTGGCCACAAATTCTTGATGACAAGAATTTATCCTATGCAGGAGTTGCAGCTGCATTTTCACAAATGAGACTAAGATGCTGCAACATCAGTCTTCAGCCTTGGTGGCTGCCTCAAATCTGCTATGCTGTTTAGGCTATGGCCATAAGAATAGATAAAGTAAGTCAAGGCTTATTTCAAAGTCACCTCTGAGATTCTTGACCTTAGATGTGACCAATGATAGTGTTTTCATCTGGGTCACATGTTTCTAGTCCAGGTCATCCCGTTAATGAAGTAAACAAGTGATGTTATTTAAACTTATTGTTAACATCTTAGTTAGTTACTTTCAAATACAAGGTGGCACTCCATATGGACCTTGGAGTGAAATCATGTGTTTTATACGTTGAAATTCTATTCAGTTACAGTTTAGGTGTACAATTGCTGTTGCAAAAATAAATGTCACGAACATTAGTGGTGATTGTGGATACTGTTCATCCTACAAGCAAAACTAATTATTTAGAACTTTTAAATTGCCACATATGGGAAAACAGGAAAATGAATAAGAGGTTAATAAGAGCACATTATCTAAGCAACTTTAAGAAAAACATTGTTGGAACAATGAATGTCTAATACAAGTGAAAATAACAATTCAAGGTAGAGTAACGGATAAAATAAAATAATATTTTAGCTTTGGCTGATTTTTAAAAAATACAGCATTTGTAACATTAAATAATCTTGAAGGAAAAGAAAGTTGTTTACTTTCTCTTAGGTCACAGTTCCTGTCTTCTCACCCAGCTGGGCTAAGCACAGCCATGATTTTAGGATAGTGAGTGAGCAACACTGTGAGCTCATAGCCAAGCCAGTGGCCAGCAGAGCTGAGAATTTATTACTCGTGCCCCACAATGTTAAATTTTTAAAATATGACTCCTAGGATTTGCAATAATAACATTGTTTGAATAATCAAATTTTTAAAATACAATTTATCATTTCGTTTTATAACCCAGAAGTTCATTTTAACTAATATTTGGCTCTAGCCAAACACTGTTTTTCTGACCTGAGGCCACAGCCTGCGATTTGACAACAAAAGAAAAGACCCTCCCTTCCCTGCCAGTTTTTTTCCAGAGGCTTCCACCCTCCCTCCTGCGACTCCCTAGCTAGCGGCCCAGTGCTGCTCCTGGGTCCTCTTCCCTCAGGCAGAGCTTCTGCCCTCACAACAGAGAGCCTCACCCTTGTGTGTGTACGTGGGGAGCAGGGAAGCTGAGGGAAAGCCCCACGAGCCTGTGTTTTGCCTAAGACAAGACATGTTTACGTTTTTACTGACTGTGGCTTGTAACAGTACTGAGTGTGAAGGCTCAGTGTCTTATTTCATTTAATCTACATTAAGGAAGAACTAGTTCTACATCCTGAGCCCACACACGACCAGGAAGAAGAGAAAGAGGCATAGACTCAGGCTCCTTCAGCCAGCTCTGTGGTGCTCCACAAACATGAACATGGGTCCCGGCGCTCCTGCGTCTCCACCACTCTGCATCCCGAGAAGTACCACGACTTAGCCATGTTACAGCTCCCCAACTCGAGCAGCAAACATGCCAGCGTAATTAATGTCTTAACAACTTACTACAATCCTCAGATAATTAATCACAGAAGCTAAACATGCTGTCTCACCCTCCTAATGTGCTAATGCTCTAATTATTATGCCTCAATTAAAGGGAAGTCAATGCTCCTTGCTTAGAAGTACATGCTTAATAAAGGCTCAGGGGCAACTCCAGCAAACAGCAGTGTGTGGCAGGAGGACAGAGGAGAAGACCTTTCCCATGAAGGCTTGCAGGTGACTTTAGAGAGTGACAGTCCTCTTTTCTTGAATTTCGCCCTCGTGTAAACACTGAGTTCTCAGATCTTACTGGCTTAGAAACATTATTCTGAAGGTAAGACAGGGACAAAGAAGGATCTGGTCCAAGTGAAGGGCGGTGTATTGTAGAGAGCATATGTCAATGTATAGGATGCAGAGAACATAACGCCTCTGAAATAGAGTACAGTTTCAGTGTGTTCCCAAGAGTGCAGAGTAAAAACCCTAAGAGTGACTTAATGTGTGACACCTCATATGTAACCCCCCAAGAGTGAAGTGTGATATCTAATCAAACAGATCCTATGCCCTGTAACACCCTGTGACACCCTACAACGCCCTATGACATGTGTGACACCAA